CGCTGCCCGTGACGCGTGGGGAGAGAGATGGGTGCTTTCCGCCCAAGGCCTTCGGGGAAGAGGGGCTGGAGGCCTGACGGGTCCACCGGCGAGTCTCAGCCGCTCGCCGTGCTAATAAGCGAGCGAGGGCTGGAGGAAGAAACTTGTCCTCGTTGCTACGTGAGGACAGCAGGCAAACGACAAATCAAAACTTCTGTCATAAGCTTACGCAGTTTTTTGTGGGTTTTTTTTTTGTTTGTTTTTCTAATTGTGGCTGATGCTCTAAGGCCTACCCTTTGCAAGTGTATGCTGCAAAAGCAACCAGTTGGTGTGCTTGCTGCTCTGAAGCTTTTTTTTGCTGTAAACGAAGAATCAACAAGTGCAGCTGTAGCCAATGAGTGAGGAAAGCATGGGTTCTACTGCAATATAGTTCACAGATGTGCTGGTTTGTGTAATCCCATATACTAGCATAGTGACCCCAAAGGCCATATTGTTTTGATTGTAGAACTGTGAAGAGGGGAAACTGAGTACAGAATAGAAAAAGGAAAAACAGTTTTGTTAATAGGCCATGGAGCTATAAAGAGTGGTAGTGGAGAGACTTGATGGAGGTGAGACATCCCAAACCACCAACTGGGAAGCCTTTCATTTCCTTCATGAAATGTTAGCTGTCCTGTAATATGTCGGGTATCAACTGATGTGTATTGACTTCTAGTTCATTTCACTTCTATTGATAGAAGCGGAGAGGAGGGTGGTGGGGGTTTGTTTGTTTTTTTTCTTGAATGTTGATCATTTGAGGCCTTGAGGATGTGTTATATGTACAGACACCTGCCCACAGAGTTCCCAGATCTGAAATTGATTTTTCTTTTGTCTTTTGCTTTGTTTCTTTTCTTGGGATGGGGAAGAAGAGAAAGGCTTAGGACTTAATTTTCTTACACAGGAAACTCCATTCCTTCGTCACTTCTGCTGATACCACCACTTTTTTCCTGTGGATATTTTCATGGCTTCTTTACATTTTTCTAAATCAGAAAACTTTCAAAGAGGCATTTTATTTGCCCAGGTGATACATGTTTGCTGGTATTGCTAGGCATGTGCATTTGCCTCTTGTAAATGTAACTTTACTTCTGTTGGTGTAATTCAGAGCACTTCAGAGAATGAGGTATGCTCTAGTGGCAGAAGTATTTTTATTTCAGTCCTAATGCTGCATACAGTAGAAACATTCCAAACTTCTATCTGTACTCTGAGAAAGTTTTAGTTATATACTTAACCTGTCATTTGTCTTTAAATGTTACTATTTTGTGTCTGCATAAAGTAGTTCAGCTCCAGAGGCTTTAAAAATAGTGCTCAGCGACACAAGGTGTGGGAATTTGGCATGTTCTTCTGTAATTGTCATCAGACAGTAATGATCTTGCTAGGGCAACTACACTACCCAGAGGAATTCGGTACAGAGAGAATTACTGAAATCTTATCTATAGGGCTAACTAGTGAGTTTAGCAGTTCTGAAGGAAGATCTGTTAAAAATCTGCCTACTCCTCAAAGCCAATCTCTTTTCTTATCCTTATACCGAAGTTATTTCAGAAGCTGTCCATTAAAGGAAATTCATTTGAGTGAAATGCAGGAAAATGGTTTTTTTGATGACTAATACTTGATGTAGAAAATAAAGTTCTTGTGCTTTCTAAAAACATTAAGACCCTAAAGAAGTGAGTAGATTCTGAACAGCCACAGAGTAAGTGTTCACTTTGGGTGGTAAAGCTCCTCTCAAGCGGAATGTTTTTCATTTACGTTGTGAGTACATGTGACAAATGAGGAATAGTTTGCATTTTGAATGCTTACTGGGCAGTTGGATTCTTTTGATAATGACTTCGGCGCTATAGCATATTACCATCATATGACAGTTCACTTGATTCTCTACCTTGACAATTAACTAATGAACTCATACTTCTGAAAAGGGCAAACATATCCATGAATGGCAGCAATGGCATTGCAAGAATTGCTGCCTCTCATGATAAATTGCTTCAAATCTAATTTCTGGCTGACCAATTCATTTGTGTTAGAGTCTTATTGAATGCAGTTCATGTCAGCATCTTTCTGACTGTGTACTATTGCTCTATACTGAACACTTTCTTACTGTTAAATATGAGTAGAATTGATGATAGTATTTGTTGTTGTGCCTTCTTAGTTAAGCAGCAGTTGTAGAAAAGTCAGATGTACTTACTGCAAGCTTGTGTGGCCCTAATTTTTAGGGGGAACAGCAATATAATCAGTTAATAAAATTCAGTCATTCCTCAAATACTAATAACTTTTTCTTGATAGGACAACTGGAAGGAAATTCCAAAATTTGTCTAAAGGACTTTCTCAAATACAGAGTTCGTACCAAGAATTCATGTGTAGTATGTGATTGGAGGAATAAAATATTGCTAGGAATCGTGTATGATTAAATGTTTGGGAGCTATATATTTGATTGTGTAAAAAAAAAAAAAAATCATAGAAATTTCCAGCAAGTGTAGTAGTTATGTCTTTAATTGTAGAACACTGACTTTCATAATTTTTTTTTTAAAACTCTGCCTATGCTTTTGTTGTTTTGTGAAACTGATTTCTTACATACATAACTCTGCAAAAAAGGAGAGTAGGCATACCTTGCAAGATGAGAAATAGCCTGGGATTTTGGGTTTGTTTTTCCCTTTTCAGGTATAGAAGTGCTCCAACACAGTATCCTGACTTGTCTCAAGAGTCCTCAATTCTTGTAACTGTTCACACTATCTTATATGAAACTCAGAATAATAATCTTTTCTGCCATTTAATTTCTGTAAGTTTCTGTTCTGACACTGTCACATTTTAAAATTTTATAATATGAAAACTATATTTGTATCCAGTTTCTTTTGGTCTGCATGTCAGATTTACTCTGAACGTGCTGCCAGTGTGTTGGCTTTTAGTCTTTACAGGAAGCACTGTGCAGGATCCTCAGGGGTGGAAGAGTACGGGGATTCTCTGCAGGTCGATAGCTATCTGTTGTATCCCCCAGCGATGGTTGGTATGGGGTAGAATGCAATTTGGTTGTCATGTAGATTTGTGTACCTGGTTCTCATGGTAGATGGTGGATGAGGACAAATGGATGTGGAACAGGGTGCTTTGTGTCCTCCTCTCGCTGATGGACATTTGATGACAGCCGAGTTTAAGTAATCTAGGCACAACTTCTGTTTCTGGTGTATACCATAAGCTTCTACATAACATAGGTTTATCAGTTATTTCCTTATCTACCATAGTTTCTTGCTAGCTATCTAGTACTTTTAACTAAGCTGTATTGCTCTGTTTTGCTTTCCCCTTTGTGTATCCCAAGAACCATAATAGTTCTCTCTTTTTGAATCTGTAAATTCTTTACGCAAGGTGGTGAGATTTATCATCTGCTGCTCCCTCCCAAATTCTTGTACCTGTTCAATCCAAATTTCAATCATGTTCATCTGTAAAGCAGAGGTCTCAAAACTAATATTTCTAAGGCTTTGTGAAAATCACTTCTGAGGTGGAGAAATGGGTTTCAAATTAGTACGTGTCTGAGGATAAAGGTAGACTGTGAGTACAGCTGTTTTATGAGACGTCAGAGAATCCATATGAGAAAAGATTATAGAAAGTCAGGTTTTATAACCCTGGTGGTCAAGGAACTTCTTGTTTTGGTTTTTTTTGGGGTTTTTTTTTTGTGCTCTTAGCTTGTGGTCAAGGTGGGTTATGAAGGCAGCAAAAATCATAGTGGTTCTCAAAATTGATGTGACTTCAGATGCAAGAAACCCTGTATCCATTTAGTAGGAAAAGGTGTAGAACGAGAAAGTAAATATAAAAGCAGCTGTCAGTTTAGTAAAAGGTAGTGCCTTTCCTTACGAGTTGTGCAACTAAATTAGCTTTCCCATCAGCGTGTAAGTGTTTGTTAAATATTTTGTGCATGGAGCTCTACATTGTTATATGCTTAGGTGGGAAGCAAACAAAAATGATACTTGATTTTCACTGAAAAAGCAAGTGCCTATTATTATCATTAGGAGTTTCAGTGCAAATATTAATGCTGAACCCAAGCTTTGTGAACTGTTCTGGAGTAGGTGATGGCAGTTACACTGTTTCTTGCAACAGTACTTTTATAGTTTGTTCTGGTAAGGATTTAGAGAGGAAATGGGTCAGCCTTTGGTGAACTACACTAAAATTGCTTCAGATAAATGTAAAGGTCAGTGTAGGCAAACTAGATTTTCTTATAGTAAAGTCAAATCTTCTCCTAGTGAAGACATTACAGTTTATTGCTAGCTGTGGGCTGTTGCTGTTAACAGCATTTTTATAGCCTTATGCGAGTCATGCTAAACTATGGCTTAACTTAATATTTTATGTACCTCAATATGTTGTTCTACATTCCCTATTACAACCTTTGAAATTTCTTACCTTACTGAATGCAGTTGATACTCACTGGTAATGTCTTTAAGACTTCTTGTAGTTATTTTTCAGCCTATTTCAAATGCAAATATTTTTGTTACAGTAACATCTGCAGCCATGATTAAAATTACTTCACGGGTTTGGAAAACAAGCTTGTCAGCTGGTTGTGAACAATGAAGAAAGTTGCAAAACCAAGTTTGTCTGATAAATAATGCTGTATAGAAATATACACTTGAATCTTAGAGACAGGTTTCAGATTAACTTTCTATCTAGTTGCTGTTGCCATTTTTTTCTTCAATTATAGAAGAGAAATGGGAGCTCCAATAAAATTAATCAAAAGAGATTTCTTGGGTTTTCAGGAGAAGGTGCTTTAATGTGGACCACTGGCACATTGAAAGTTCAGTCTGAGTAAAAAGCTTAAGTAATATGTGTATTGTATTTTCAATCTAAGGAAACATGTTGAAGTAATTAAATATTAATTTGTCTGACCTGTCCAAGAGGTAATGCAGTTAGGATACAGTTATATTGTACATGAGACCATGGCTGTAATTTTTAGGGTAAACAAGTTTGCTGCCCTGTACATATCTTAGTTCAGGAGTTGCAGTGAAGAGACCTGATATTCAGTAGAAAAGATTCATTGCAGGACTGTGTTGTAGTCTGATGGAAAGTAAGTACCTTACTGCTCAGGGCCTTTTAAGAATCATATTATCCCTTTACTTCAAAAACACTCCTCTTGAATTTCATCTTTTGATCTGACACTGTCTGTATTGACAGTATTTTGGGGAAAATTCAAGGCAAGTTTAGATCAGTTATATAAATCCAAGTTGGATATATTGTGTTTGATTTTGAAGTATTTCATTCATAGAACTAAGGCAACTTTACCACCATACTTAAGCCATTATCTGGAGTAAATTGGTATGTCCACTCTAGGAGCTACATTGATTTTGGTGATATAGTTATCCATATGGATTAGGCGTTCTGAATTGGTTGGATTAATCATAAGCTGTGGTGTAAGATATTAGCGTCTCTGTCTTTTCTTTCCCTTTTACTTTGTGCTGCAGGGGCAGTAGCAGGATAGACTGCAAGAGAGTATATATGCTAGTTTATATTCTGGCACATTAGCAGAAACCTGCTTGTTTTGAAAGCTGAATGTAGGTTTAAGCCTACTGGTTCTGGTTTTGATGCACCTCCACTTCTATCAGTTCACTACAAATGTGAAAGCCTGTGGCAGAAAGGCTGGGCAGGCAGCTGGGGGAATTGAAGTCTCAAACTAACCCAAATAAATGTACTGGAGTTTGTCTGTTTGAGTCTTGTAGCTCTTGTTATGTTAGCACAGAAGTATTAGAAAGCCCCTTAAATCTCATATCCTGCGAGGATAGCTGTCTTCATGGGTGTTTAACAATAAGACTACAGGGGCTAGTACCCTCCCCATTGTGTAGTTTTGCTACTGAGAAACATGGGTTAATAGATCTATTTAAGCATCATGTGTAGAAACCTTGTACAAATGTACCTGGACTTGTCTCTACTGGTGGTTGAAATTCCTACTACGCAAGCAAAAAAACCAAGCAAAAGGCAACAACCGCCCCACACCCTCCCCAAACCCCTCCATAATAATTGGAACTTTGAAAACTCAAAGGAAGAATTAGTTTTAAATGTCTTGAAGTAATTTCTAGGTGAATCAGCTTCCACTTTTCTCCTTCTCTCTGAATTTTCAGAAAATCACTGCTTTGTTTGAATGCTTTTCCTACTGTGTTGCTTCTCTTGCTTCTGAGAAGTGTTTTTGTGTGATTCTGGAGGTTTTGATTCTTGTGAACCAAATGGATTGAGAAGTGTAGCATTCTTCCAGAGCTGTCTCGCCCCTTACAAGATACGATCATTCTGCTCTTAAGAGCCAAAGAAAATGTGAGGTTAAGAGGGAGTGATGGGACTAGAGATTAACAGCAGGATAGAAGAGGAGGTACAAGAAACAAATGCAAGTGACGCAGTTTCAGGAATTCAAAATGAGCTTGTGTTTCTACCACTCTCTGTGCTTTTGGTGATACTGCAGTTGAAATGCTTAAAATCAGTGTTTCTGAAAATGGCTTTAAAAGAGAATATATTATTTCTTTAGGTAAGATATTTCATGACTGGCTTGGATTTCTTCTTAAACATGCTCTTCAGTTCCCCCATTAATATTAAAGATTTGTGCACTTTATCGTCATGACTGTCCATTCAGCCATTAGCATTATGTATCTTTAACACTGGAGTTTGCGGTAAGCCAGAGAGAGAACCTGTATGCTATGTGTCTAGATTTTCTCTGCAGCTGCAACTCCACCAGTATGGGTAGAAAACCATTTGTTCATTCCTCCATCAATTTATATTGGAAAACAAAGTGAAGAGTCTTGCTTTTACACATCCACTGCGTAATTTGCTGTCTTCCATATTTATTGGTTGGTGTAATGTAGTAAAAAGCGTGAACATTATTCTCTGCTTTACCTCAGTGAAAGAGGTCTTCTGACGCTTTGATGTTTGAATCTGGTTGCTGTGTTTACAGAGAAGGTTCACAACCTTCAGAGAAAGATTAGAGTTCAGCAGCAATCATTTAATGCTTTCTCTTTTCTTTGTAGTTATGTTCATGTGAATATGGCTGAACTTACCAAAGCATGTGGAGTTGAAGACTTGCTAAATGCTAGCAAAATTTGAGGAGGAAGGAGCAAAACCTTTAAAAGGATAATGCCTTAATCAGACACTGTGTGTTTAGGGATATTTTTCCTTACACAAGTGTGTGATTCTGTGGATGTGAATGCCTACATGTGGTGGGAAACTTTGCATTTAATACTCTAGAATTACCTGTAGCAGGGTATTCTCTCAACTTAATATCACTCCACTGAACCAATATTTTAAAATCAAACTGATATCAGCCATTTGGAAAGAAAGAATTAGTTGCTATTAAAAAACAGTCATATATTATCAAAGAATTACTGTCCCAACTTCATTTTGGCATTTAGGCAGCATCAAGAGATAATTATCCTTGAAAATATTTTCTCATAATGACAACTCTTAAACAGAACTCCCTACTATACTATCAAGGAGGAATATTATGTATTTCATTTCCCATTCATAAATGTAAAATGTGCTCCCTACCTGCAGTTAGAGTGAATGGTCTTTGTTGATGCTCTCACTATGTGGAATCTCTGAAAATCATAAAAATGTGATGAAATTAGTTAAAACCAAACAGTAATAGTGAGGTCAAAAACAAATGGAGGGGAAAAAAACCCCAACCCACTCTTCTTTATAAGACAGAAATTTGGAAAGATACTTTTTAAAAGGAATGTATGCTGATGTGTTGCAAATTGGATAGGACTGGTTTGCAAGGCTTTATCTCTCAGCAGAAATACTATTATCTTTATAGGATGGATATTAAGACTACCTTTCCTCAAGTGAGTAAAACAATTTTGGCACGTAAAATTGTTATAGAGTTTGTGCTTAACACATCAGATTGATCTGTTGTTTTCCTGTGTGTTTTTCTTTTTTTCTTGAAATATATAGGCATTTCAGTAGGACTATGGAGGAGCTGGTTCACGATCTAGTCTCAGCACTGGAAGAAAGTTCAGAGCAAGCCAGAGGAGGTTTTGCTGATACTGGAGATCATTCTCGAAGTGTGTCTTGTCTTCTAAAGCGACAGGCAAGGAAAAGGAGGGGACGAAAAAGACGTTCATTTACCACCCATCATCCCTGGGAGACTGGTCACTGCTTAAGTGAAGGTTCTGATTCCAGTTTAGAAGAATCAAACAAAGACTACAGGGAGAATCATGCTAATAAGAAAGACCACAGTGACTCTGATGACCAGTTGTTGGTTGCTAAACGTAGGCCTTCCTCAAACTTAAATAACATCAGAGGCAAAAGACCTCTGTGGCATGAACCAGATTTGGCTGTTGACAGTTTGGGAAACAGAACTCTGCGCAGGAGAAGAAAGGTAAAACGGATGGCAATAGATCTGCCATCAGAAGTCTCTAATGCACTGACGATAACTCAGCAGCAGGATAACAGCAGAGATCAAGAAATGGACAATGACAATAAATCATACCAACACCAAGAGTTTTCTAAGAGCAAAGTGAAAAAAAGAAAAGTAGCTGCAGCTCGACAAGGACTGGAAATCTTGGATGAAGGAGTAGTTATAGAAAATGAAGAAGTGAACCAAGCAAATAAGGACAAAATGGAGTATGAGGAGCAGAAAGGCTCAGATGAGAACATGAGTGACAGGTTATTCTTTATCTTCCTTTTTCCAGAAACTTTGGATAATATATATTTGCTTTTATTACTGTTGTTTGTATTTGGAATCGTTGGATTTTTCTTTAATTCCAGAGTTAAAATGCTAGCATCAATAATATCTGTTTTAATAAGTTACTCTTAATTTAAGTCTACTATCTTTAATACCTACGAGTTGGTCAGGTTAAGGAATTCAGTGTAAAATAGAGAGTCATGTAGCAGAGGAATAACCAAGAAAACAGTTTCTTGAAATAATACATTCTAATTGTTTCAAGATTAAGAATGATGGAATATACAAATGATTAATATGTTTTTTTCCTGGGTATTTCAACTGGTGACAGTTCTCAGACAAAAATTAAGTTTTTTTTCCAATTCCTAGACATTGGTGCTCTCATTGTTATCTCTATTCATCAGAAAGGTTGTCACTCTTTAGAGTCACCATTTAGACAGTATGTTCTTATGTGTTGTGGGCATAAAAAGTCTGCAGGTTGCCAAGGATATACATCATTTACGAAATGCAAAAACCAATTTACAGTTCAGAAACACCTGAGCTTACTATTAGAAAAATGGGGGAATGGTGACCCTTTGGCAGTACACCTCATCCATCCATTCCAGACAGCAGTCATACTACAATGGTAATTGTTTCCAAAGTACTATTTTGACAACACAGTAGGGTGGAAGTCATTTTTCCACCATACACAAGGGATGTTACCTGCAGGGCCTGGTTAGCTTGATTATGTTTATCCCATGTGCCTGGTTTGGAATGTAGAACTCTTAACAAGAAAGAGTCATACTAAAACACATAATTGTGGTCAGTTGCTTGACAGCACTAGTGTCCCTGGGTTTTTTTGTAGGCATTGTATCTATAAACTGTTAAGCCTTTTACTTACCAGAGAGGTAGAATTTAGAAGCAGAGAATACCCAGGGGTTTTGACCAGAGCAGACAGATCAGTTACTGTAATATCAGCAATATTGGTAAGTGGCTAACTCCGGTTATTGTTGGATAAGTTCTTCTAAGTGTTTTTATTACATGCTAGTTTTGTCCCTCACCTGTGGACAATAAGCAGCTGAAAGAGCAATATGAATGATGAGTCTTAAAGATTGTTACTAATGTCTTAATTACTAGAGCAGCAGCAGTCCTCCAGGGCAGCCAGTTTAACGTCAGACATCTCACTTTGACATGCAAGACAAGAGTGTGTGTTGCCAGGAAGCCTTTAGAAAACTTCCTTCTTCTTTGATGATACTGCAAATCTGTTCCCCCAGGTTTGGTACCTAAAAACAGGTGGTTAAAAATTTCCCTGGAGGTGGGAACCATTGCATTTTTTTATCATATGTCCATATTCTTGTCACTTTTTAGTTTCTAAAAGGTTTTCTGTTATGCTACAATGGTAATAGTTCTCCAACTCAAAAATTCTGTAGCTAATTTTTAGGTGGAGAGTGATGCAAAAATCCTCTTGTAGACTCCCAAAACTGTGCTACTCTCAGGTCAATCTGAATATCTTTATTTTTTCACAAAAGAAACGTTACTGATTTAGAAATTCATCTTCTTCAACATGCTTAATGTTTGTTACACCGAATGCTGTCATTTTTCAAGTCATACTTCAAGTGTTTGTCTCTGGCCCCAATAAACGGCCTTTAAAACCATTCTCATCTTCATAGTGTTTTCTGCTTATGCACATGCTTGAGTGATGGTCTGTCACTCTACCAAATTTCTTGCAATGGTCATCTGTATGAAAATGTTTGGAAAACACCGAATTAGGAAATTTGCATTCCATAATGTGGTTAGAAATCCACCATATCTAAGCCTCTTGGGTGCATACTGTATCTGAATATTTTGTATGTGAATAATTTTAACTGGTTTTCAGCTAGCTTTACTTAAATGCAGTTAGTGCCTCTCTTGTTTGAGATCATTTAACCAGAAGAATTGGAAAGCAATAGCAAACCCTGTTCTTAAGAATATGTTCCAGAAGTAAAAGCTGAGATTTTAAAAGGGAGCATGAGCTTTGTAAGACTGCACAAGATATGGAAAGATAACAAAGCATTTTGGATAGGACTCATGCTTCAGCAACACTTGGTGGAAGAGGAAAAATAAAAAATATACAAGGCTGCTCTAATTTTGTACATTTGTGTGCATACGGTTTAATAATTATTCAAAAAAAGGATTAATTTTGTAGAAGTTAAGTTTTTAAAAGCAAAGCAAAGTCAATTTTTAATGGGAGTTAAATTGCTTGGATCTAAAATTGGTGAGTTGTCAGTGTACACGTGAAATTACTTTAAAATAACAACGTATTTGAAACTCATTAAAAATGCTAAGTGACGCTTCTTTTGCAATCTTTTATCTGTGTGTGTTCAAACACTGAACAAAACAATAACCCTTTAAGTGCAGGGTTCAGGAGTAATAGTAGGAGTCTTCAAGCTCTTAAAATATCAGCATCTAAATGATCCCAAAGATGAATTCCCATAAGGTTGTTTTTGAACACTGGAAATGAGATTTCTGTGATCAGAGCCTGTCGTTTGCTCATTCTCTTTCACCCTCAATGCTTAGCTCCTTGGCCAGTTTTAGCCAAATTTGCCAATGTGTGGAGTTCTGGGTAATATTTAATTTCTGCAAGCTTTGGAATTGTTTGCATTTTAAGTGACTAAATGGAGGAGAAATCTCAATTGCCCCTTTTGAAAGATGCAGCAGTGAAACTCAAACCTTTAATAATGCCAGAGATGCCCACCCACCAGCCTGCCAGTCAGGGCGAGTACAGTGGCTGGTCAGTTCTTGGGGACAGGCTGGTGAGCAAAGGTCACAAGCCTCGTATGAAGCCAAGGTATGGGACAGTTTGCTAGTAGTAATAACTAGCAATAAAACTTATTTCTTCTTTGTTTCTATAAATGTATAAATAAAGCTGTGAAAGCTTTTTGGGTAGTGGAGCTGCTCCTTCCAAGTTTTTGCTTGCATACCCTATTTTATAGGAATAAAAAGAATCTGTGGCTTTTTTCTTTTTCCTGGAAGCCTTGCTGGGAGTGGAATTCTTATTACAAAGCCAAGGAATTAGCAAGATACAGTGCAAAATTATATTAAAACTGGAAATAAATTCCATCATAACAGCTTTCATGTACTTAGATATTAATGTATTAATTCTAGGGGTTTGGAATTTATTCAGTGAAATGACTGCCATGTAGCAATTATCTCGGCTGTAATCCCTGCCCTACTTGACTGTGGCCTGAGGAGAATGAACACTGGCTGCCATGGATATACCAGTGTTATGGTTTGTTGTTGTTTTTGAAAAGAACAAAACATTATTATGTGTAATTTTGAAAATTAAGTGGTTATGTTTTCATGAACTGGCTAGTCCTTCATTAAGAATTATTGAACAATTAAATATCTTTTTTTAAAAAAAAGAAAAGAGACTGTTTCCAACATTTGAAATTTTGCTGGGGAAAGTGGCTGAAATACTAGGGTTGAAAGGATTTCCTAACTTTCATTTCAAAAAGTACAATTAAACACTAAATGAATTGGAAGAATCTATGAAAAGGGGGTGGTTTTTCTCTGAGATGTATGATGTAAAATTGTGCACAATGAAATGTAAGGACATTAAAGTCATCTGTTTTAAGTAAAGTGAGGATGGGATGCTTGTTAGAAAGAAGTTACTAGGATTTGCAACTAAAAATAATTTAAACCAGTTGAATTCAAGTATAGGACTGCATGTATGTTTTAATATGAATAAGTGTAGAAAGGTAAACAGATCTCGAGTTCTTATAAATAGCTCGTATGGAATATCGAGAGTAGCTGTAGTATTTTTAACTTGTACTTGAATTTGTGTGGTGAACTGAAGTGATACTTTTTCAAATTGTTCTACAACTTACTGTAAGTAAAATGTGATTAAATTTTGGTGAGAGTATTACCTCCTTAGTAGAGCTACTCTATTGACAAAAAATGAAATAAATGGTTTACAAAAAATACTTTTGTGTGAAACTCGCCAAATTGTGATCGGTGTTATTAAAAGACAATTCTGTTTTACTGCTTAGAGACATGTGGAATATTATTTGTAACAATGTGTATACAGCAAAGAACAAAATACTTTACCTATTGATGTCTTTGAATTTAGAGAGAAGTGTGTGCATGTTGTGTACACATGTTCTATTTTTAAGGCCATGATGGAAGTCACAGAAAAGTAAACTGTACCTTGCTTCTTTTTGTTGATATTATGATCTTTGATCATACTTATTTTCTTCAGGGTGACCTTTATTTTGATTTAATTGGCTACCTTTGTTACAAACTTTTTTCTTTCTTCCCAAATAGTATGTCATGAAACCTTAAGCCATGTCTTTTCCAGAATACTTGCAAATGATGTTTAGAAAGGTAATTCGATTTTCAGACTCTTCTATTTCATGTGCTGAAGGAAGGCTTAGGCTGCTTTTGATTGAGACTTTTCCTATTTTATTGAGCAGTGGTGCTCCAGGATCAAGCTGAATTGCACAACATAAGAAGGAAGCAGTGAGCATTTGATGGAAGCAGATAATAAAATGCATCAATTGTGTCAGCACCTCGTTGCAGTCACATCTGGCTTACTGTCAGGGTACCATTAGATTCCCATGGTTTTATGTGCCAAAAATAATATGCTTTGTAGTTAATGGAACTAGGATATTTGCAGTTTGATTAAAAAAAAATCATCCTATTTTCTTTCCGATCTTTGTTGGGCTTAAGTTCAATTTGAGCACAGCCTTGTCTCCTTAAAATTTTACGACTGAAAGATCAATTGTTCTTTTGATCTGTTTCTTTCTTTCTCTTATTACAGTGAATCCAGCAGTCTGAGCAGCAGTGATGCTGGTTTGTTTACCAATGATGAGGGAAGACAAGGTATTGAAACAATCTTTCCCTTCTCCACCCCTCAAACCACATCAGTTGAAATTCTGTAAGCGTTACAAGTTATTCCATAGGTTAATTACTATATTTCAGTTGCTATTACTATTTTAATGAGTGGAAGTATAGCTTGCGTTCTGGGTTTTTTGAAATGTTACCAGAGGGTGTCCTGAATCCATGACTTAGTCAAAAACTGTCTTGAGGAGCAGTCTCTGTAATACGATAAACTTCTAACTTGAGCATCTCCAAAAGATTATCTATACTAAGTTTTAATTCTTCTGTTGCTCCAATTTTTAGACAGTAGTACTGTGATCGTAGTACTGCTTCTCAAACTATTTTTGAGGTGCGTCTCTTTTCTTCCAAATTGATACAGCAGGATGTCATAGTTCTTTTTCATTCAGTCGTTAGTTTGAATAGTAGTTTCAAGCAAGCTACTTTTTCAGCAGTCTAAGATTGAGATTAGATGCATGCTGTTTAAAATCTTTCACCTCTGAAAATTTTTTTTCTTTAATCTAAAATGCAGTGAAGATTCAAAATTTTCCTTTAGTATGCATAATGTTCTCATGTCCTCTTATGTGATAAAACTATTGAGGATGGAAATAAAAGATTTTTTTTTTCCTAGCTTTAGTGTTTATTGCCATCTTTAAGCGCAACACATTTACCTGTATTATGCTCACATCTTAGTGCCCAGCTCATGGACTAGGAAATAGCTTTCTTTGACAGTATACAAAAATGAGGCAAAAGTAGCCTCTCAGGTGCTTAAGACTTGCTTTTCTGTTGGCAATTCTAAGTTAATGGTAATGGAGATTGTTTTCTTACAGTTTGCCACAGACTACTTGAGTGTGTGCAAGAAAACAAATCCTGGCCCATTCCACAGATCTAGATCAAGACCAGGTTGGACAGGGCTCTGAGCAATCTTATCTAGTTAGTGGTGTCCCTGCTCACTGCGGGGATTGGACGGGATAACCTCTAGGGGTCCCTTCCAAACCAAAACTTTCTATGATTCTATGATCTAGGTTAAAGGGATGGTGGTGGTTTTTGTTTTTTTTTTTTCTAATGTATAATTCAGTCTCTTCTGGGTTTTTTTATCTCCTATTTTAATGTTACAATAGGGTGATGATTTTTCAGACTTGAAGTGTTACCTTCCTTGCTCAACAGTAACTTGTACTGCACAAACTGTACCTCCTGGTCTGACTATGTTATTGGTTGTGCTAACACATAGCTTTTTTGAAGAATTCAAGCTCTTTGAAAGTTTAGATCGATCTTTTAACTTCACATGAAAAGTATTTCAATGTGAGACATATCAAAAAGACTTGCTTTTACTTCCCTATATGAACTTGCAATTTTTAAAATTTTTGTCCCCTATATTTGTATGTAACATGACCTATGGCATTTCATAATTATGTACACTTTTGCAGTACCCTTCTGATATATTTATATCAACATTTTTGTCCTTAAATCCTAAACTGAATTATTTAAATCTTGAATAATATGGTTGAAAATGTCTCAGTTACTTTCTGGTTTTTGTATATACTTTGTGGGAGGAGAAAAGCGGAGGACTTGATGAACAACAGTGTTCTTTCGCTGGTGTGGTGTTACTTTTTTTAGTGTTGGTTCTCTACGATAGAACTGTAATTCTTATTTTTGCCTATTGGATTTTTTGAACCTTGAGTCAATTTGTAATTTTCAAGCAGAAAGCACTAGACCTGAAATTGTATTCTGAAATATAAATAAAAAGAATTACAATAATTAAACTTGAGAAGGGTATTGTCAGGACAAAACATTATTTTTTTAATCTCTACTTTTGATTTTGTGGGTATGGTCAGAGACCATTAACTTCACATTGGATCTCAGCCATTCTTAGATCTTTATTATAGCTTTGGTTTTGTGAAGACTTTGCCATGAAAGTATTATCAGATCCTATTACAAAACCAAAATTGTTTATTTTCTAATATTTATTCCCCCTCAAAGAAAATGCTAATAATTTTTATCTTTGTACTCCTCTCATGAAGATGAGGTTATTTTCTCTCTGTAAATTAATTTATAGCTGAGGTGAGAGATGTATAAAATTGAAAACAATGAATGAAGGAGAAAATAAATCTGGCACAAGTAAAGGAAAAGCCTAGGTGAGAGAAATGAAGCTGAAAGAGGACAGGATGAAAATGTGTTAAGGGAAGAACTGGCTGATTTTGTTGTCTGCTTTTAAAAGCTACACTGATTTGTGTCTTCTCAGTGTCCCTCCTCCAGAATATATGTTCAGAATATCAGCATCTTGACTTCATTTTAGTTCAAATTTTCTGCACTTCTGACTTCAGGTTTCCACTAATTCAAGTGGAGAAGCAGAGGTTGATTTCACCACCTGGTGAAATACTTGGTTTAAATTATGTGCCTGCCATCATTCAGAAGTTTGGGTAGCAGAGGACAAGAGGATCCTGTTCTCCAGGGCAAGACTTGTTCATTTTGTGTCTCCAGATTAGGAACCATATCTCATTTATTGCAGACAAATACTCTTTATAAAATCCTAATTAATTTCCAAAGCATATTCATCCTATGGGACAGACATTCTAGAAAAGAAAGTGATCTAAAGCAACAATTTCTTTGAGCAGTTGGCCAGTCAGTTAAATAGTTGAGTGTTTAGTTCTGAACTTTGGAGTGCCTGACCTTGCAACTTGTAATATGTTCCAAAATTGTTTCCAAAAGCAAATGGAAATAAATTCCACCACAGTAACTGCTCTTCTGTGCACAGACTCTCAGAAGTGTTTTGACTTTTATTTGATTCAAGAAAACCAGGTGTAGCTGTAATTGGGGGTAGTAGTGGGTTAATTGCTAGATATATATTTTAATTGCCTTCAATTGCTATGATAAAAGAAAATTGCTGAGACTTGAAAATAATGTGTTGAACTTCCAATATGTGGTGTGCCATCTAACTTTTTTTACCCAGGCGCTTATGTTAGGTCACGTGAGAGGGCAAAAGCAGCTCTCTTGCTGTGCTCTACTCCACTGTCATATTACTTTCTGGCAGAAGTAATTGGTATTCAGTGTTTTGCAGCCCCAATGTGGCAAATGTTTTTCTTCTGTGAAACGTTGCATACCCTGTACAGTTAGCTAAGCAAAACTTTAAAGGTCACAGAAAATGCTCAGTGCAGGTACAGTCAGTGAAGAAGATAGCTGCTACCTATTAACTGCTAACTATTAACAAACCTCAGATAAATTATTATGGGTTTTATTTTTTTTCAGAGGTTTGTACATTGGCCAACTTTGGGGTAAGAGTTAATATAGTTAGCAAAAAACCAAAATCCTATGCAAATATCAAGCCCTAGAGTATGGAGGTTGGAAAGCCTATCAACAAAGTGAAAGAGCTGAACAGTCGCTGGAACTCATGTATCAGAAATCCTTGTGATTTTCCTTTTTCTTCCTACTCTTTCCTTTGTTCCTAATACCATTTTCATAAATGTCTGTTTTGCAGTTATTAAGAACTTTAATGCTAAGCAGTGTTATGCCCAGCACAGAAAACTCTTGCAAGAAGAGTTTCAAAACAAAAGGTTTAATCTTGCACTACAACATATAATACAACTCTATATTATAAGCCTAGCTAGTAGGATCACCTGCAGTTTCAAGGCACTTTACAAAGGCACTTTATAAGTTAGGCTCTCAACACAGTGTTAACAAAGCTGTAATGTTATTCAAACACTAGTTGATATTGCTGTTCCAGGGGGAAAAAAAAGTCAAATTGCAACTATATTCTTTAATGAATTTTATAGTGTGGGTGTGGCAAATACTATATTCTGCATTCCTAGTCCATCTACACCTACTAGTACACTTGGGGAAATTCAAAGTTTGACTTCAGACCTCTTAAATCATGACATGCAGCACTTGAAATGTCCTTTAAGATCTATGAAAGTAGGAAGGAAAATTATATTAATAAAGTGTTAAACAGTTAAAATTGGAGAAGGTCAGGGAATGTCAGAGTTCCACTGTGGATGTGGCTAAGCTTTTAAAGGTAGCTGTTCTCTATTTTATGATTAAACATATATTCATTACTGTGTCCTTTATGAAGATGACCCACTACTGATGCAGTATATGAGAATTCCATTCTTTTGTCTTCTCTAGTGAGAAACTAATTTGGACCTTGTGCAGCATCTCAGTAGCTGCAGGTGTAAGGTGGTTGTTCTCTATATATAAAAGAAATGGGATGTGCCATGTGAAGTATAATCACACCACTTTTGAACTGTTGTAGCTAATTAGTTTATAGTCTTTGCAGGTGAAAATAATAACGTGAAGTTGTTGGATATGACCAGAATAGTTGAATTCCGAAATATTGCATGTGGATCACAGTGGTAGAGGTGAAAATAAAGCTGTGACCACGTGATACCCTTGGTCCAATTTATTAACAGCACACCTGCACAGTCATCCTACTCAAGAGCAGGGTATGATATTACATTGGATGGGAGGGGTGGGAGGAGGCCTTCATGTGAAGTTTTCAAGTTTGAATCAGAAGAACTAGCTGCTTATATTGAATGGCGTCTGCTATCCCTTTTGCTAAGGTGGCTCTGTAGAACAGAGCGCAAGATGCAGTGTGCCTCTGTGGATGGGTAACTCAAGCTTCTGCTTTCCTGAAACTCTTTGTATGTGTTATATTTAATCTTCTGGTATCTCCAAATGATTGTTACAGCTGTTAAAGTGGTTTTGGTTTTTTTTACCTAGAAAGAGGTATAATGGTTGTGGAAATAAGACTAGCAACCTATGGTATTTTACAGTCCACGTGCAATAGCTGTCTGGACTGTAAGTTGATGGATAATTGAGCAGCACAGTATCAAGTGGTGTTTATTGGACACTGATGCCAAACTCTTTTCATGGTAGCCTGTCAAAGTAGGTTGCGGTTGTTGTATACAAGCACCCGTACACCATATGTGACTGCTATGGAGGGTAGTCTGGCTATTTTGAAATACAACTAGGAAGAGGGGTAAAACTCTATTTGTGTGCAGTGGAAAGTCTGTTATAATCCTGCACTGCTTTAGCTAAAATAGGATTCAGGTGAAGCTTCTCTGCTGTTCTGAATGTGAAACTGAAGCTGATGCACATGGGGTCTGTGTTCATAGAGAAACCATAAGAAGCCTGCATAAATAATTTTCTAAACTTCCTATAGGAGAAGGCAAGATGTTTGTCATGAAGGAGTGGTAATTAGATAAATATGCAGACTCAATAACAGAGAAGTGAAAATTAGGGAAACAGTAATTGGGAGGAGGGGAAAGCTTAAAAATAAATAAATAAAGCCAGGAACTGAAGTGCCTTTTAAACTCAGAAATGAAGTTGACATTTCTGAGCCTTAAATTGATTTTTTTTTTTTTATGCTGATCAGTACAGTTATAATTGAATCTGAATTGCTTTGAAGTAATTCCTTGAAGCATTAGCAGTACCCACAAACAGGTTTGTTGTATTTTAAATATGTGGGTAGGAGAATGCAGAGGCTCAGAGGTCAGTTTTTAGAGATTTAGAGGTGGTTTTACCTTCCCTGTAGCTTGGAAGAATACGATAATTTGCTGTGGTCTTGTACTGAAGAAAACCCTAAGAGGAAAGGACAGTGTAGTGAATCTTTTGAAGTATTTTGAAGTCAGAGATGCTGCTCTGAATTTTTAGTTCTCATGAGTTCATGTTTTCTATGGATACTGTGTTGCCTTTTGAGAGCTGCAATTCAAGTAGGCTAAAATCCAAGTATTTGGTTACCAAACTCTTGAGTGGGTAGGCCTCTGTTATATTGCCTATATGTATGAGATTGGGAATTGACTAAATGCAGTGGTCTTCCCTGACTTCTTTTGAAAATGGCATCCCTTCAGTGTGGAGCAGCTGGTAAACAAAATGCCTGTGGGTGCTTCTGTCTGCATAAGAATAGTAGTAATAGGTTTATGCTCGCCTCAAGGTGATAATATGATGGAAAACAGTCAAAGGATTCTGATGTCAAAGGATTCTGCTAAAAACCAGGTGTACCTGGCTTCTGCTGTCATGTGCTAAAAGTCTACAAGGTTCAGATCTTAAGTCCTTTATTCTGCTTTTGGCAGTAAGCGACATAAGTGCTTAGGGAAGTGTATAGTAGCATAACAGGTAAGATGTCTTAATGGATAGTTGCTTAACATATATTTGTATTGTGCAAAAAGGAGAAGTAATTTTGTATTTTTTCCCAGAGAACCATTGTTGAGCATATAGCAAAGATACCGGTTTCCATAGCCACTATTTGCCTTATCCTGCAGCCCACCAACCCAGTCTTAAATTCTAGGTCTTTCTTCCAAGACTGCATTGCGTACCTTTTCTTTCCTTGTGCCAATTGTGAACCCCAATTTCAGAATTCTCTACATAATTTCATAGTTGAATTATGTGTAACAAGACTTGTTTTGAGTTTCTGATAGTATTTCTTATTAGTCAAGGTATCTAGAGCTCTCATCTTATGCCAGCATATTCAGATGAAGTTTATCTACATATGTTTGGAAAATCTGAATAAAGAAGTTAAAACTTAATTCTGAACCATAGGTCAACCTAATGAAAAGTTGTGATTCTTCCTCTACCACTGTTTCTGTTCAGTACTTTTAGACCTCCTCCAAAGAAACCATACCTAGTTGTAATGAAACAAGGATAGAATTAATGGTGAACACCTTTGTGAAATGTCATAGCCATAAATGAGGATTAGAATAAATATGGAGCGTAATCTGAAATGTGCCAGGAACACAAATAAATCTTATTTGGACCTATGTATCTCTTTCCACTTCTGTTTTCCCCTTCTTCCATCTTAAAGTTTCTATTTTCTAACCTCTGGTAATTTTGCTGATAGTAGCAGTCATTAAAGCTGCAAGGATCACATTTCACCTGCAAGTGGCCAGTGAGGAGCCTTAATTATTCTATATATTCTTTAACTGCTTGTCCTGATGAATGCTTATAGCCATTTTCACTTGTGCTTGGTCTTGAAGTATTGTTTTCATTGGAACAATTTATTTGGAGAAAGTGTGTTGAATTTTATTTTTCCTCAAATTTTGGCTTGGCTTTCCATTATTTGTGTTTTCCCATTGTGAGGTTGAGTGGCAATGAAATTTTACATGAATGCTTTTTGTTCTTGAAAATTGTGTCTAATCTTGCATTTTTGTATCTTGCTTACTCCTGTCTAATTAAAAATTGAAATGCCAAAAAAAATTTATATGCAGAAATAGGCATGGTTTAGATACTTTGAAGTAGAATTAAAATATGCAGCACATCCTTTGAAATCTGATTTTTGTGTGTAAGAAAGGAAACTTGCCATGTCTTATGAAGATACTTTCTGATCTTCTGTAAACTACCTGGTTTGTATAAAGAACATGTTTTAAAACAAACATAGCAATTCATTTTTAGTTGCCAGTGTGTTTATGAGCTAAGTTTAAATCAGTTTTTCATTTTGTCTTTTGACTTTAAATCCAGATATTTAAATACTACATCTATAAATATTGTCAGTAAAAAAGACCAGCTTTGTGGTGTAATGCAGTATAATTCTCAATCACATGATACTGTCAGTTTTCATTTAAAATCAACTTTTTCAAAACTTATTTCTAAATGAACTTAATCAGATTAACTTCATTTAGTCACATCTGTTCATGATTGTTTTCCCCTTTTACTAGCCATACAAATCATGAAATTAAGCTAATTATATACCATTATCAGCTGCAAAGAACTAGTTTCACAGTTTTATACCTTTTAATTCCCTGCAGGAGATTAAGGCTTGTTTTTTGTTAATATGTAAAGTGCAGTAACTTAAATGGATTTCCCTGCAGTTATTGCCAAAGGATTAGCTAGTTTATTATTGTTTTTCACTATTGAAATTGGTTTTAAAACATTACATTTTATGTGGTTTCATTGATGGCAATGCTTGTCATGCTATTGAGAAATATTTTCCAAATAAAACTGCTATGTGCAAGTAATTGTTATACAGCTATAAAGCAAAAGAAATAATTGTCCTGTCATAGTGTTTATTGATGGTAACATCTGATTTTTATCTTCTCTGCTCCTCCCTCTTTTTGGGGGGGCTTGGGGGATACTGCCCTCACACAGGTGATGATGAGCAGAGTGATTGGTTTCATGAAAATGAATCTGGTGGAGCATGTGGAATTACAGGGGTCATTCCGTGGTGGGAACAAGAAGACTCTACAGAACTGGAGAGAGAATTGCCTGATCCAGTCTTTGAAAGTATCTTAACCGGTACTTTCCCTCTTATGTCCCGTTCAGGGAGAAGAGGTAAGTAGCAATCAAGCAAACGTAAACTGTAGAATCACTTGGGTACACTAGAAAGATGTCTGTGAATTATACGAAATATATAAACTACTGACAAGATCTTGGAGTTACCAGTTTGTTTCTTTGAACTATTTCATTTTTAAGATATCATTAGAGAGAAATAATTAAAAAGCCAATGATTAGAAAAGTCAGTGTAAAATTTGGCTCATTTTGATAACCTACTCTTTTATTTGTTGCATTCAGAATTGTTAAGCATTATTTAAAGTGAATCTTTATGTTCCATTTTGTTCCTAGCTTCTGTGGTAGTGTTTAGAATTCTACAGAGGTTTGTTAATTCAAAGGCTGGGAAGACTAGTGTGACCATCTGCTTTGCTTTGCTTCATGGTTGTACCATATTGTTTGTAGAGAAGAGGGAAGAGTTCCTTTAGAGCAAGGATTGAGATTGTAACTTAGAAAAGATCCTTCTTTTTTTTCTCCTGCCCTTTAAAATACTTTAGACAGCTATGGATTCAGTGTATCCAATGGTAAGTTGTACTAGTGTTTGATTGCATTTACAGCTAGGAACCCACACTTAAGATTGAAGTTGTCAGGCCCCAGCTTGCTGCCAAAGCATTTTATTGTACCTTCCCTCTGCCACAAGGATGTACTTTCACATTCAAGTACAGATCTTCTATGTGAGCAGTGGTCAAATCACTTTGAAACTACCCTGCATACTGAATGCATTGAATTCTTTTGTGAGGCTTATTTTTTAGATGCTTGGAATTGTTTCTGAGGACTTGGTCTCTGTGTATTCACCAGATTTAACATTTTCTAGTACTAATGAAGTTGTAAATGATGCAAAAATCACTTTCCTACTGTAGTTCAGTATGCTCTGCTTATGTAGCCAACTGTGTATAGAACCAGCATGGCAGTAGAAATATTTACAGTGATGTTCATTTTCATTGCAATTTAGCCTTTCTCCCACTCTTCCCATTCTGTACTCTGTTTCCCCAGTACAATGTTTGACAATATTAAGATGTTTTTGTTTAACTGAAGTCAGATTAATAGATTGGTATGTAATGGTGATTTTTATTTGTTACATGGTATAGGAAATACTCTTAAATCAATTCACACTCCTTTTTTGTAGGTTTCCAGGGTAGATTTAGTCATCTTCATGGAATGCCAGCAAGAAACATAAAAAAGGCTTCAGGAAACCAGAATGCATTGGTAGGTGCTTTTGTTATTGTAAACTAATGTGCACTGTTCTTAAAGCTCTTTTTTAAAAAGCATATTCCTCTCATGCTTGTTTCCTAATGTTATAGACAGGTAATGGAATGGTAAGACTACAGGACCGTTGCTGCCTGATATTGTTCGTCTGCTTTTTTTATACTTAGACTCTTCTGGTCGAAATTCTATTGTAATGGAATATTTGCGTGTACTTGAATGGTAGAAACAGTCTGAGACTGTTTCTCAGAACTTATTTTGCACTGAATGAAGGAAAAGGTTGGGGGGGGCATTATTTAACACTTTCAGTATATCTCTCGTGTATACAAAATCATGTTTCCTTTTACATAATGACAATCAAAGCAAAGTTATTTGAAGTTTTTTCTGATTCTGAAAGCACTCTAGGATGGATTGTGGTACAATTCTGATTTTGACACACCCTCACCCACCCCCTTCAAAGCCCAAAGTTGTCTTTGAAAAATCTGTCCTTACTTTCTTCTGTTTGGTTAAGTTATGTGTGATCAGGGGAAGGGGTATATATAAAAAATTTAAAGCAAGTTAGTGATGCACCTGTCAGACATCATGCATTCCTTTGGACTGAGTCTGTTCTAAGGCTGTGACTACAAATGAGAGATGTTTGAAGTTTTTTAGTGCTTTCAGCTCTAGGAGTAATGTTTGTAAGTGAAGGAAAAAAATCCAACTGTCCTTGCATTTTTGTACAATCTAATAATTGGATTTTCCCATAGCTTTTTTCTAAAATAAGATTCTAATGAATTTTTAAGAATTTGTTCTTTGCAGGAGGGCATGAGGAGAAGAGACTTGAGTTTTTAAATTAAAATGTTAAAATGTATTCATTGTAGCACAGTCTGTTCCTTTCTTATCAGAAAAGTGTTTGGAATAGAAGGAGAATCAGCATGTAATAAACATATCCCAGCACAATAAATGCTGTAACATTGATGTTATTATTTGAGAACATTAAATGTTTTCAAATTTTAATTTGCCTAAACAAAATAAGGTTCTTCTAAGAAATCTGAGCTATTATATGTGGAGAGAATAGAAAGGAACTCTTGGAAATTTAACTTGTTTTGAAGAGGGAAGGGTTTTATAATTGAAGTCCCTGTCTAATAATTGCCATTTGGAGCTGAATAAGATGCTTTAAAACCTTGGCCTGTGATCTCTGCTGTTAGTGGTCATGAGTTAGATGAATGTTATCTAGTTCTTGGTTTCCTATCTACCTATTTTTATTTTTGGTTCAGTGCTTGCTTGAGCATATCTGGGATTTGTAGCCCATTTTCTAGGCTTATTGCAATTTCACTCTGGTATTTTATAGGAGCTATTATAACTGATAGGTTAGCTTCATGGTATTGATGATACATGGCTTAACTACCCTAAAAACTGCCTTTTCCTCTAAATTGTAAAAAGGTGATTAAATTTCAATTGATGAAGATATACTGTGAATGTGTATATATAATAAAAAAATCCTAATGTTTATTTTCTGCTACGCTTGCTGGATTGTCCTTAGGAGCTCATTTTGTCTTCCAGTCATGATATCTCATATATAAAGATGGTATCGTAGTTCCCTTTCTAACAAAAATGCAAGTCGATCTACCAAAGACTGATAATTCCGTTACCTCCAGTTATTAAAATTAACATTTACATAGTGTTGTGAAACAGGGTTGATGTGTGACTGTACCTTCTAAGCTACTATGTTTGGGCAGGAGTGCATATATAGAGTGGATGTGCAGTTGGCTCTTCAGATACAGTTTTCTGACCTTCTTAATGACTATTTATGTGTGTGGGCACATCTGCTGCATCCGTCTTTGCAAATGTAGCTATATAAGCCAGAGCTCACGTGCTTCCTTTTGTCAGTGATTGCTTCTTAAAGAAAATCTTCTTTAGATACTCCAATCCAATGACAAAAAAAGTAATTTAATACCTGGTGACATCTGATAACGTAGAACAAGAAGTAATTACTGCTATTAGATGGTAGCAGTGAAGAAGAGCAAGAATGCTTTTAGAAAGATTAATATCCTGAGGAAAGAACACTGCAGACTCAACTCATTAAACAGAGTTGTGGTGTGACTTAATTCTTTCTTTTTTAACAGCAAGGAGTCTGATGTCTGTATCACTGCATTTATGTAGACTTTAAAGGGAGACAAAGTGAAAAATGGAGTTTCCTACTGAGATACATTACCTAATAGACACACATTATATACTGTATTCAGTCTAAGGATGCATAGTTTGTATCTAGGGAATGTGAGCATATAGTTAGCCCTTTGCATACAGTCAATGTTTGTTTAAACCTTTTTGGAAAGGTTAGTTGAAGGTTCACAATTACAGCAGCTAGTGAAGTCTTGAAGAGATTGCTGGTTTAGGGAAGGCAGAATGAGTAGCTGTGATAATACCTTGATATGTGTTCAATGCCCAACTATTTGGGTGTTTTCTTGCAAGAGAAACATCAGGCTAAGAGGGTCGTTATACTTGATATATACTAAGAAAAATGCTTAGCTCAAGTCATTTTCACACCGCAGTTTCTAGAACCACTAGAAGTTGAGAATCAGAGGAAGAATTCTGCTCTTTATGGACCAGTTAGTGAACTGTCATTTGAAGTAGCCACAGCTGGCACTCAGATTCTGTCCAGATGCTCTTCCTGCATTTCACTGAGTTGTTTAATTTGAACAAACTTAAGAGTCTTCCTGTCATCAAGTGTACTGCCTTTGAGTCAAAACACTTTTCTAAAGATCGTACAACACTGGACAAGCAAGAGAGAAGTAAAAACCTAGCATGAAAATACTGTGAAAATTCTCACCTAATCCAATGTGCAAGTCGAATGAGTTGTCATACAGCAGACGACAACTGAAAAAGCTGAGCAAGAAAATGAAAAAAAAATTCACAACTGGCTTATATCCTTTGGATTGTCCAATTGACTGAAGACAGGCACATTTTTTTATGGAATATGTAATTAAATGGTTTGTCAGGCATATATTTTTGCATACAATTATAATGCTAGCATTTCATGTCTTCATTGCCTTGTTTTGTGGCAGCATCATTTGTAACAGAACTTGATTTGAAAAGAAATAGAAAAACATGTGGCTTTTCTAATACACTATGCTTTTGATCCCACTTGTGTCTAGTTGCTGGTAGGAGCTTTGTAATTCTAATCAGAAACATGATACATGTACTTTCATACCATACCAGTATTTAATGTACTCTTTTTAATAAGGTACACTGCATGAAATTTTATTGTGCTTGGTTGAGTTCTGCAGTTATATATGACCTGATCAACTACTCCCAACCCCCACATTCTTAATGTTAGGCAAAAGTTCTACAACTTAGAAGTAGTGTTCTATGAAAGATATGCTGATTTCTTAGAAGGAATGCTTTTTTCATCCAGTCTTTTTTCTGTATGTGTTTATAGAATTGCATGTCACTTATCCAGTACTATATCTCTGTCCTTTCCAACAAATTAGACATGAAACTTTGATTTTATTTGGCTAAATACCAGAAATCTAACATTTTCTATGTAACTGAAATGTGAAGGTTCATTTCTGTGATGTAGACTACTAGATGAACTCTTTACCTTCAATGATCAAGATTGCCATACTTTTCTCGGATGGATTCCTAGGGAGATCACAGAAGCCCTAATTAAAGAAAATAAGAGTTAATAATTATAGTTAGTGAAAATAGAACATGACTACTCTTGTTTCTTTCAAAATGTTTTGCCCAACTTAGTTCTCAATTAATGAAGAATTTCCTTTTCATTCACAACTCCTCCATGCAAATAAGTGAAGGTTTTAAAAATCAGTGCTACTGTCTTATCTGTTCCTTGTGTGGTTCTAGATACTGATCCCTCCCTGTGACAGGGAGAGATGTAGGGTTTTGTTGGGGGCTCTTTTGTGTCATCTTTTCCTGCCTGAATTCCCTGTCAGGGCTGGAAGCTGGGAAGTGATTTCAGTGGGCTAAAGTGCAAAAACCATGACCAATAGAAATGATGCTTTCCCTCAGCTCTGCCAATTTTTCCATCCATTGCCTTTATGTCATGGGTTTTGATTTCATTATATTAAAGACAGCCTATTTTAAGTCTTGCACTCCTAGGATTGATTTTTCTTTTTGCACAGCTGTACTATTGAGCTTGACTATACATAGTTGTAATTATGTAAAAAGTACGTAAGGAATGAAAGCTACATTTCAGAGACCTGTTATCTGAAGGCGCCTGGCTATTTCTGTCAAATCCTGTGACTCTTATTCAAAAGTTCCAAAGTAAAAGAGCTTTTCTCAATTTTTTTGTCAGATAACTACTACTCTATTGATGTGAGGAGAAAAGATGTATTGAGCACCCATGCTTTTTGTTAACTGCTTTCAAAATGTAAAAAGAAATGAAGCATTTCTGCTTCTAAGGTCCTTCTAACTGAAGAAACAGCCAGGTGTTTTCAGGATTTTTTTTTCCTCTCAAAATATTTTGGAAACTGAGTGAAATGGTATTAGGTAAGAAACTTTGTTACAGATCTAAGGAATGTTTCCTTAAAGAGTAAGTTGGGTGTTGTTTTTACAGTATTGGTCAGAAGGCTCTTTATGGATGCTCTGCAACTTTTAGAAAAACACCGCTTCTCAAGTTAAAGTTGATTTGGAGTTGTGGAGAATTCTTTTACACTGCATGTGTGGCATACAGTCGGGTAGAACACCATTTAGTTTGTTAGGTGCATGAAATAACTTATCTGTGGGGTTTTAATTATTTTCTTCAGCTAATGACTTTTGTCATTTGGAGCAATAGTCTCTATGTCAAACTCTATGGAAATGTGAGTGATATCAGATGATGTCTGATAATAAAACTAAACTTGTTGGATTCTAGACTTCCACTCATTCAAGATCAGGAATGTTAGTCCTCTGTGTCTGAGGATGACATTTCAAAACCTGACACTGCTAAAGCTGCAAATTAATTTTCTTTTAAGTGGGAAGGACAGTAGGGGCTTTTGGTTTAAAAAGCTTTGTCACATTTCAAAACC